TGAGTGGTGTGTAAGTCCGCGCCCGGCATCTGAAGCCGTGAACCCCAGGCTGCCAAAATGAAGTGCACGAACTTAACTACTACGCCACCAGGCCGGCCCTAGGAACGTCTTAACTGCAACTATGGAATGAGAAACACACTAAAGTTGGTATGCTGTAATACATGTCTAACTCCATGTCCAAAGATAGCGCTCAGAAAACATTTAAAAAAAAAAATTACAGGGCCGGCCCCGTGGCTTAGTAGTTAAGTGCACGCGCTCCGCTGCTGGCGGCCCGGGTTCGGATCCCGGGTGCGCACCAACACACTGCTTCTCCAGCCATGCTGAGGCCACGTCCCACATACAGCAACTAGAAGGATGTGCAGCTATGACACACAACTATCAACTGGGGCTTAGGGGGAAAAGTAAATAAATAAATAAAATTATTTAAAAAAAAAATTACAAATGCTTATTCTGGGCAATGTAAGCTTCTAACTGGGAGGGCCCCAGGCACCCTGCTGCTCCATGGACCACCATAGCAGCCCCAGACAGACACTGGGCTCTGCTTGCTTTCTGGAGCTTGGTGCTGGCGTGCATGGCCGTCAGCATGCACAATGTCTTCTGTCACATCTTGTGTGGTCCAGTTACTTCCCTCTGGGGCTCGGACCTGGATGCCACCTTCTCGGGCGAGCCTGGCCTCTGCCCAGGTAATCGGAGGACAGTGGGACTGCACAGGATGTTTCTGAAAACCGTTCTTGTCTTTATTTAAGCTTTTGGAGGTTGTTTTCATGTTACTTCTTGCCTAACCGAGGGTGGAGATGTGACATGCCCTATACAGGACAAGGGAAAAGTCCCAGACTGGAGATCTTTGACCTCACATCTGGGTAAGCCAGCAGCCGCGTGCGCCCACCTCTGACAGCAGGACCGGCGGCCTACCCAAGGCAATGGCTGCAAGCTGAGCCAGAGGCGCAAGCGCCACTCTGCCCCTGTGACTCTGGGCGCTTCATTTCCGTCAGACGCTTGACTATTTTGCCGAGCGTGCTTCTGTTTGCTTCCAGGTGTGAGAGTCCCCCCTCTTCCTCGTCGCTGCCCTTTGGGAACCACTAGGATGCCTGGAGCTGAGCAGTAACATCCCCATTGGGCCGGATAAATTAAGAATCTTCATCCAGACCTTTCCTAACGGAGAGTACGTTGATTCAGCCTTGTAATAACCTGCCGTGACCAACAGTATCAGAGCCAGACTCACTCCTCAGGAATGCCTCTTTCTGCCCTGGGTGGAATTACTGGCATGGGAGAGCTTTTACCGACAGGACTGCTGACAACTGTTTCATACAACGGCGTATCTGCGGTGGCTGGGACCTCTGTTGACATGGGGTTACTATGGTGACAGAGACCACTGAAGAGCCCCCAGGTCAGGAGTGCACTCCCTGATTCTGCCCACCAGCTGGAGTACTGCCACCAGAACCTGTGGGACAGGCCACGTGAGACACAGGGAAGGACAGTTTCCTCCAAACCAGCAAAAACAGCGCTTGGTTTCCATCCCTGCTGCTGTCACTGCTTGACAAGAAGCCACGTAATGCTCACAAATCAGTCTCGTGTGCCTCGCTCCATTTCCATGCATTCACGCCCCTAGCGAAACAGGTCTGTGGATGGAACAAAGGCTGTCTGATAAGGAGTGTTGGCCGCTCGCCTGCATTCACTGTGTGGACCCTCCAGTTCCAGCTGCATGCCATGGACTTTGATTCCAGTTAAGTCCCACCCGGTTCCACATCCGCCCGCTGTATTCCCTGTGGGCCTTGCACCCAGGTAGGAAACGTCACACAGCCAGCCACACAACACAAGGAGGGGCGGGAGGGAGAGAGGGGGTTTGGCCAGTTGGACCAGTCAGTTTGCTGACCTCTAGATTGACGCAGCTCTGGCCTCCCGGCCGGCAGCTCCCCACGTCCCCATCGGCTCGGCGGTGCAGCTCCCATGCGGCTCGGAGGCGCAGGTGCTCCGGCTCGTCCCCTCGCTCCTGCCCCAGCTGCCACTCCATCTGATCTCTCAGTTTGGACTGTTAGGTGCATGGGAGGGATTTGGTTTTGTTTGTTTTTTAATTTTAAATAAAAAACAAAGGACAAGAGGGTAGGGGTTGGCATGGGGGTGGAGAGAAGGGATAAAGAAAACAAAAATGGGTAAGGTAGACGACTGAAAAACTACCAGACGAAGAAAAGCATGACTAGAAAAACCAACTTAAACACAGTGGCGTAAGAGAGTGAAAAGAACAGAACCAAAATGAGGATGAGCAAAATGATGGGCTGAAAGATCTGAAAAGCAAAAAGAGAAAAAGAGGAAAGAATGCAAAACACTGGTTATGAGGCGCATGCAATGAGGATGCATGAATCAAAGAGGCAACCGCAAGCACACTACCCATGAAGGATACGGAAACAAGGCTCTTCCTTCCTTACTTGTGGTCGAGCAGCAAAAGGCATGATCCAGGATGGCCGCTGGGTCATGCACCCCAGGGCGATGCATAGGAAAGCAGTCCTCAGAAGGCTACTCCATTCTGCCCTCACCTCGGCTCAAGGAGGGCAGCGGGCAAGCTGGCAGCGAGATTTTGCATCAAAATCATCCTTCTCTCAGAACCACGCTCCTCTCCCCCATCCTGGCTCATCTTCCAGTGGGAGCGGGTGGGCCTGGCTGCCTAGGACCTTTCAGGATTGTACTGTGTCCCTCTGGCAATAAACCCAAGCAGGTGTGCACACGCTCCTGAGCAAGTCTGCTAATCATCCTGACTGTGAAATGAGTTTGTACTTTGTTTTAAACTCCTCTTTGCTTCTTCATCGGGAAAGCTGGTCGTTTGAGACACAAAAAAGGAGAAAGGACGGACTGCGTCGATCCCTACAGCTTCCATTGGGATTAGCCTTGTGTCATGAGGGAGGGCTCTAAGCCAGGAGCAGCGGCGCAGTTAAAAATAAGAGGAAAAAGGAAAAAGAAGCAAGGAAACAAAAGAGAACTAAAAAAACAACAAAAAAGGAACCCAACCAATAGAAAGGATTTGGTTGACACTTGAGGCTTTAGTACAATGCAGGCTTGAAATCATAACCAAGCAGCCGTGAGCAGAGCGAGCTGGAGGGCAGCAATGCCAGCGAGAAGGAAGAGTAGCACGACGGAGCAGGGAGGCAGAGCCCGGGGCCCCCTTACCTGCAAGTCCGGGACCAGCTCCTTCCCCAGGTTCCCGACGGGGGAGTCCCGGGACACGGAGGTCACGGTGGAGAGGAAGCTGGAAGACTCCGTGAGGTGGGGCAAGGGGGACAGGCCTTCCAGGCGCTCCCTCAGGCCGTCCCCGAGGCGGTGCAGCTGCTCCAGGAAGGCCTGGAGCTCCTTCCTGAAAGCTTTCATCCTCGTGTTGATGGTGCCCAGCAGCTGGGGCTCGTTCTGGCCCCCCTGCCCCGTGTCCCCGTGCCCCTGGCCGCCCTGCAGCCCCGCGCCGGCCGCGAAGCCCTCGGTGTCGCTGATGAGGCGCTCCACGGTGCGCTCCAGCCGCTCGGCCTCGCGCCGCATGCTCACCAGGCACTCCGAGTCCTCCCGGGCCCGCAGCAGCGCCGCGGCGCACGGCTCGCTCGCCTCCGACGGCTTCCCGCTGCAGAAGCCCGACGACTTCTCGAACATCTCCTCCGAGTCGCTCTCGCCGCCGATGGGGCCTTCCCGCCTGGGCTGGGGCGGGCGGCCCTCCTCCCCGTCGCTCTCCTTCTTGCCCGCGTCGCTGTCGGCGTCGCTGTCCCGGGGGCTCGGGGCGCGCAGGCCCAGGTGGGCGGCCAGGTCGTAGCGCTGGACGTTGGACAGCAGCACCCGGTTCTCATACTGCAGCTTCAGCACCTTTCCGCTCAGCTCGTTGATCTGCAGCCGGGCGGACTTCAGCTCCTCCTGCAGGGGGGCCCCGCCCCCCGCGCCCTTCTCCACCAGCCAGCCGGGCTCCGGCCGCGGCTCAAACTTGAGCTTGCTCAGCTCGTGGGTCAACTGCCGGTTGTGGTCCTCGATCTCGGATATGGACCTCCGGAGCAGCTCCGCTTCCTCCTCCACGAACTGCAGGTGTCGGCGGAGCTCGGCGGAGGACTCCAGGGAGTCGCCGAAGGGTGAGGTAGGAATGCTGGGGATGTGGTCCCGGCCGGGCCCCTCTCGCTCACACTGGCCCCGCAGGTCCTCCATCTCGGCTTTGAGGCCTCGGTTCTCCACCTCCAGCTCCACAATCTTCCGGCCCAAGATGTTGGCTTCTTCCTCCACCAACTTCAGCCGCAGCTTCAGCTCAGCCTCCCTGGTGCTGGGCGGCCCGCCGGCTTCCCCCGTGGGGAGGGGGCTGTCCACGTCGCCATAGAGGGCCTTGTACTTCTGCAACTCCTGTTCCAGCTCGTCCTTCTCCCTCCCCAGCTTGGCCATCTTTTTGCACATCAGGGAGCCTTCCTCTTTCGCAAACTGAAGCTGGCACTTCAAATCGGCACTGTCATCCTGCCAGGAAAGAACAGCCCGAGAAAGGGTTATTTGAAAATACCAAATGTTCCTGTTTTCGATGATTTCCCTAGCACCTCGCCCCCAACACACACACAAACACAAAACATCAATCTCTGTCAGTGCCTCGAGATACACGTGGAAGGGGCCAAGACCAAGGCGAGGGGACCCTGGGGCCTCCGCAGAGGGACGTGGCAGAGGCCTACAGTCTGTTGCTTTGCCACAGAAACAAAAGAAACCAAAAAACTAATTTAGAAAATACATGCACATGAAAACCGTCATACAGGTGATGAGTGAAGAGAAATAAATGAAATGAGCCCAGCACACGTCAGTAATGCAGCGATCCCTCCTCACTCTGTAGATCCAGTCTAACCAATCACTAGCACCCATGAGAGACACCAGAGCCCCTCACTCAGCCTGCTGCCAGCAGACAGGCTTCAGCAGCCACTTCCAGCTGTTGGCACTCACTTCCTGCCCAGTGCAGACCTCCCTCATCCAAAGTGGTCAGCAACCCACAGGTATGACCAGGATGCGGAGGCCCGGTAACCCCAAATTAGATCCCAACTTGCCACTGATTTGCTGAGAACCAGAGACACAGCCTCTCCTCTCCGAGTCTCCCCATCCACAACATATCACAAGGACGACATGAGGACAAAAACATGAGATGATGGGCATGAAGGTGCTTTGGAAGTTGAGGTGCAGAGTAAGTACCAAGTTCTGAAGGTTAGTATGAATTGGTTACTGCAAACCTAAACACCTGGTTACTCACAACCTCTCACTATGCAAGTGCAACTTCAGAGCCTTTGGTTATGATCCGCTCCCTTTAGTTGCTGTAACACAGCAGGAAATTAAACTCAGAAACCCAAGGCAAGGAGCTAAGTGCTTCAAAACCTGCGAAGTGGTTCTCGCTGGGATACCAGAGCATTCTAGAGGGTCACGAAAGCGGACTCTCTGTGCTAAAAGCCAACACTGTTTGGCTGAGGTCAAGAAGGCACTTGCTGGGCCAACTGGAAAGTCAACTCCGCCTTTCCAGCACAAGTCTCAATGCTTTGAAGCTACATGAACTCTGATTTGGGCTTGCACAAATGTTTCACTATTCACATTCAGTGAATGGGAAAAATGACCAGTTTCATGAATCATTCCTCTTGACTGGCTATCACAAGTTGCAAAAGCCTGTCATGGGGACAAAGACTTAGGCAAAGGCTTCCCCATCACACAAAGAAACTCAACAACATGCTTGATAGCAGTCATACCCCAACAGCCCAAGGGAGGGAGAGTCATCCAACCAATCTTTGGAACAAGTCAACCCTCTGGGAGAGAATAAATTCTTTCAGATCACCGTCTGTGCGCAAATGGTCTAGTAGAGTTGATGCAGTGTTCGCACTCAGAGAACATGCCTCACTCTCTGCCATGCTCTTGCTGCACTCACCACTGGGCAAAAAGATGTAGAGAGAACTCCCTTGGTGCCCCTCAACTTTCCTCCTTCTATCCCCGCTAGACCCCTCCTCCCTGTACCACAAATCCATGGAAGAAAAAAAAAGTGATGTGACAGGGAAGACTCAAGGAAAAACCTAAGGCCAACTGTGAGTCAGTGCCACGTGGAAAGCAGGCCCTGGCGCTATCTGTGTGCCCTCTGAGAGACAACACTCCCACTGCCATGCTCTTAGCAGAGGATAAACCAGTCCTGCTGGGCTTGGAGTCAAACATGCTGCCCTGAGTCCCAGTTCTCCTCTTCTGTCCATGGCACCATAGCTGATCACAGAGCCCTGGTGACCCTGTCTCCTTATGTCTAAAGCAGGATTCTCACTCAATCACAAGGTCATTGTGAAGGTCAGATGAAATAATGTACAGCAAAGTGGTTTGTACATGGTAAATCTCCAGATTCTGGCACCCTAAAATTAACTTTTTGCTTTCTGAGGGTCTTTGCGCAGAAAGGAGCAGGATCTCTGAGAGGCACACAGAACCTGGGCCTTCCTCAAGGGTTCTGAAACTCTTGGTTGTAAGTACTCAGGGTAGAAAATCTCAAAGAGCCCTCAAATCACCTTGATTTCTGGAAACCTTGAACCTCACACCGTCCCCCCCTCTGCCATTCCCCACAAGTCTAACTATAAACCAGAACCATTCTCCTCCATCTCCTTAAACCTCCTTAAACACACATCAGTTAACTTAGAAGCAAGATTCTATGACATACCCTAACGAGTGTCTCATATGTAGATTACCTGAGGACTGATAAAATATCCAAAAGTCTTCTTGTTCCTTAAAAAGAGAAACTATCCACACACCAGGAATTCTAACATATGATTAAAGCATGCCGTCATATCTACTCAACACCCATGCACTACGAGGCCTGCCACCAACACTAAAGCAGTTTTTGAAAGAAAGACAATCTCTGAAGCCAAGGGAGGGAGTGTGCGCATTTAACAGAGTGCCCAGACCCATCGCCTCACTCTGGTCAAGGCGGCTGCAGCAGGCCGGTGTGTGGGAGAGGGGCGGCCCAGGGGAGCAGGGGTGAGCCGTCCTGGAGCGGGATGTCCACTCACTCTCATAAGAGGGAGAATCTCAGCCTCCACTAAAGCAGTGGGAGGCTGGGTACTTGTAACGCAGACTTTCTAAAACTCTGCCAAACTCCAGGGGAGGAGTCTAGGCAAAGCCTAAAGTGAAGGATATCAAGCTCTGGTTTCAAGAGATCATCAGACAGAGAGCTCAGGAATGCAGTATGAAAGCAGAAGTTGAGCCCAACTTTCCACCCACCACTCCTGCTGCAGGCAGACTAGGCAAGCACAGCATGGAGTGGAGGGCACACACAGGACCCCCGCCCCCCCCTCCCCACCAGCCGGAAAGGCCTTGTCAAGCAACAGAAATATATCGCGATGGGTATATATTCTTTGGCTTGCAAGTTGGTTGTCTAGCCAGCACCCCAAGCGCTGACTTCTCGAATTCCTACCTTGCGCCGGGGCGCCAGTTTCCTTTGAGTTTTGGTCGCAGACCTGCAGTTCCCAAGGTGCTCCGTTCCACCACTCTGCTGAACAGAAACTCCTTTCTCAATGACACTGCAGGCTGAGGGGAACCTAGCACATACTCTGGAGGGGCAGCCGCGGCTGTTCTCAGCCTGATTTACCCACAGGTGAATGCAATGTTATGCTGCTCATTCCATAACGGGGCAGCGGTCACCCTTTTAAGGAAAAGATCTTCCCTGGTCAAGAGCCAGGAAGCTGAGACATACTCGAAGCCCAGGAGGGTCAAAGCACCCAGCAGTGGGATGACAGCTTTTAATTTCTCTGTGATTAGTAGATTCCAAAATGAGATTTGGGGAGTAGAGATTTGGGTTAGAAGAGAAAAGTTCATCTTTGGCATTCCCCCTGTTCACATGCCCTAGCCGCCCTGAAGGATACTCTGGGGACCAGTGAGTTTGTAGAATGGAGGAACCAAAGGGAATCAAGTGTAGAATACACAGGGGCAGGCCAGCACTGAGGTCTTAGAGCTCTTAGTTACCCAGACTCATTGCGTCTCTCGAATTACTACTTGCTCCAAGCTCAGGGAGCTGATATCCCAATAATGCCTTTGTTCTCTCCAACACCTAATACCAGCAGCAATTAAAAAAAAAAAAGAAGAAAGGAATCCAGTAAAGCAAGTGCTCAGAAAATCTAAGAAAGTTCTGGAGAACACATACCATGTACATAGAAAGGGCTACACTTTTATCATCTTTTGGCGAGAACACTTCACTTTCAATTAGGCCAATTTAAGATACTGTTCAGCTCGCGTGTTTAAAAAAACTTAAGTCAAAATAATGCCTTACGAATGACCCAACACCACAGTAGCTGTACTATTCTACGTGGATGACTTTGAAGGCCAAAACACATGACCAGTTGTGAGCACCGCCATGGCCTTGAACTATGCCCGAGGACACGTTACACACAGCCCATGTGTTCTTCTCTTTCTTGAAGAAATCACAGCTCCTCAGTGTGAGAAACAAAACGGAGGAGCTGATGGTTTGCAAAGACAATTTTCACCCCATAAAGGTTTTGAACGAGTCCAAATTTTAGGGCAAGTAATGTTTCTTTGAATATTTTAAAGGCAACACTAACACTTTTTGAGAAAATTCAAAATGAAGTGATTGCCTCTTGAGGAGATGTAACATTAGAATGAAACCTCTGCTTACCTGGTTCAAGGTTTTCTTTTCTTTGTACGTTTCCCGACTGCCTCTTCTTTTCAGGGAACTCTGAAATAGATCCAAGTGACATTCTGTTATGGAAGGGTCACATGCAGGAGCTAGCACCAGGTAGACACCATCCCCACTTGTAGGGGACACACACAATGGACAGAGGCTCCTTTTTTCACTGGAATCCAGAAACCACTTAGAGTCAGTGTTTAAATGCAGTTGAGGGCCGGCCCCGTGGCTTGGTGGTTAAGTGAGCGCGCTCCACTGCTGGCGACCCGGGTTCGGATCCTGGGCGCGCACCGACGCGCTGCTTGTCCGGCCATGCTGAGGCCGCGTCCCGCATACAGCAACTAGAAGGATGTGCAGCTGTGACACACAACTGTCTACTGGGGCTTTGGGGGGAAAAAATAAATAAATAAAATCTTTAAATGCAGTTGAATAAGCTTGCTGACGTCTTTGAATCCTAAGATGCTTTAAATCCTAATTACTGTATTTGCGGTATTCCTCAATTATTCAGTTTAATGAAAAATGAGGGTGGTTTGGATCGTTTGTAACAGTAGAAGAAAGACAAGAAGAAGAGGAGAAAGGACGTTTTGGAAATAGATACGTAATATTTCTGGAGCTGCCTTACCTTCCTAATTATGCTTTGTTTGGGCTAATGCTAAAATTAATTGATGTTTCCTGAGTGCCTATGGGTAAACGCCCAGACAAAAAAGGGGTAGGAAGGAAGAGAAGGGCGGCCCTTGTTTATGGAAAACCCAATCTAGGCTGCAACATTCTCTATGAACAACCCACACCAATTCCTGATTAAACCTACATCTCCAAGGTCTTAGAATTCATAACTGATTCCTATGTGCACTGGCCTTGCCTGCGTCCCTCAGGCGGGCTGGGTCCTGCCTGTGTTACTACATTGCAGTGCACCTTTGCCTACTACAGGCAAGAAATGTGTCTGAAATAAATAGATAAGGGACCCAAGATAGTTCTTGCTAAAGTAAAGTGTGAAGACAGAAAGGAGTGAGAAGCATCCTAGGGGAAGATAAATGAATCTGAAGCCTGAAAGGATTAATATAATCCTGAGACAAGTTGGAAGAAAGCAGTTTGGAAAGTTAAGACTTGCTGGCTATCATTCAGACCTTGGAAGCCTGAGAATGGGAAGAGATTCTCCCTGATGGCTGCCCCCTCCCCTTGGTAGTTTCGTCCTGAGGCATGCAACAGGAGCTCATCTTGAGATGGGTTCAGAGCCCTGACCCTCTGCTTCATTCCTTGGCTGCTACCAACTTCCCACCTCCCCCCACCCCCAACAAAACAGCTTGGGAAGGAGACTCTTTTACAAGTGACTTATAGCACAGTCAGACCTTATGTTAATATCCTCAGTACTGTTTACATTTTAAGTGTTTCACTCTCAGAAGGCTAGGCCAGGCCATTTATTGGAGGAATTTCAAGGTTAAGAAATAATTAAAATTCTAGCTGCCCCTTAGCCTCTAGGAGGCTGGAGGCCTGGGGAAAAAATGGTAATTGAGAGATGGGATGAGAAGGGTTATAGAACCAGCACAGACTGTGGGCCTCCCTGGTCAATCAATGCACTCGGTGAGGGGTGGGGGGTGGGGGGCGGTGCTGGCAGTGCGCTCTCTCTCTACCCCCGCCGCAGAAGTGGCTTTATCTCCTAGAGCCTTTCCTGTAAAAGCAGGGTCAAACTTCAAAGAGAACCTGTCTCCTCCAACAGGTTGGGTCAAGCCTGTCTTAAGAAGGGTTTGAGTGTTTCCACCCATAATAAGTAGGTTTTCCAGGATTCTTCACACTGCAGTTAAGGAGTCTCTTTGATTTGAATGAGCTAAGTGAGATGAACACTTCTGACGACCCCCTAGAGAGAAGAGTTAGAATAAAGCAGCGAGGAGAGAGACTGTTCCCAAGTCTTCGACCTGAGGAATTTCATTCTGGGACTGTGGCAGCCATCTAGGCCCGTGGGGAATCTGCAAGCCACCCAGCATTGCGGCACACTCTCCTAGTGACCGGAAAGCAGATTCTACACGCGCTGAAAGAAAACTAAACATCTAGATGAAAGCTAGAAGTAGAGACAAGGTTTCTTAAAATCTATGCCGAATCACGGGTTGCTGCATTGTGGTACTGGAGGAAGGAGCACATTCTGAGTCCTCCTGCTGGGCAGGAAAGGGTAGAGAGCCAATGCATGGATTCCTCCCACCCGCCAGTGGGTCTTTGCCCCTTGCTGAGCCCTGAATACAACTGCCTCTGAGTCCTGTGATCTTTCTAGTGACTCATGAATAGGTGGGGGGGTCACGGGACGACCCCTCTGCCGCAGATCCCAGTCACAATGGCAACTACAATAAAAAACATTGCAAGGATTAAAGTTAACCAGAAATTTGCAGAACCTATATGAGAGAAACCATAAAACTTTGGTGACGGACATAAAAAAATGCTTGATGCTGCCTGATGGGAAGACCCATTTCTCCCAAATCACTTTATAAGTATGATGTCATTTTAAGCAAATTCCTCCCTCTCTCCTCCCTATATATATAATGTAATATGCACATATATATACAAAAAGTATGTGTGTGTGGATACATATACACAGACTTGGTGTGTATATGTGAGACTGGTGAGTGGATGGAAGGACTTGACAAAATGATTCAAAAATTCATCTAGAACAGGGGTTGGCAAACTACGGCCCTCAGGAGCATTTTAAAACAGTGGGGGAAAAGAATGGGCTATTTGGTATATGTTGGGGAACAACTGGCTAACACAGGAAAAAAAATTGTGAGGTCCATATCATGTATCCATACCACATATAAAAAAAAATTCCAGATGAATTAAAAATCTAGATGCAAAAAATCATAAAGGAACTAGAAAGAAAGAGATAAATTTCTAGTTATTCTTAGAGCATGGCCTTTATAAACACGGAAACAAAAGCAGAAACATCCAAGGAAAAGACTGATCAAGTGGACTGGTAAAATTTTTAACTTTTCTATATATCAAAAGAAACCATTTACAGTTTAAAAACTAAATGACAAAATGGAAAAAAATTTTTCTAACATGATAGACAAAACAGTAATATTTTGCAAGTAATGGGAAAACTATCTTAATAAGAAAATAAACAAATGGCCAATAAGCACATGATTACTAGTAATTAAAACAACAAGTTACCATTTTTTCACTTAGAGATTTACAGACCACAAGAGGTGTGACACCCGGGGTGAGTGAGTGTCCAGAGGTGGGCACTTCCACGCAGATCCATGAGAGTGGGGAGTGCTGTGGCATTTCACAGGGCGACTCAGCCTGACAAATGCTCTATCGTGACCCGTAATTCCACCTCTGGGAACATACCCTTAGGAAAAATGCAAAGACATGTGTGAAGATTTATGGGTAAGAATGCTCATCACAGTGCCTTTTATAATAGTAAATGAATACTGTGGAGGTTATTAAAATGATGTTTTTAAAGAATACTTAAAGATTCAGGAAATACATTAAAAGAAAAATGCAGGTTACAACAGCATGTATTTTGTGATTTCAATTGATATCTAATAAATTATAACTATACATATGTATTACATGTATATGTTAGAAAAACAGATTGGAGAATTATATCGAAATAATAAATGATCATCTTTAGGTGACAGAATTATGGATAATTTTAATTTTCTTTATTGTGGCTTTTCATGCACTCCAAATTATCTACAGTGAATACTATTTCCTTTACAGTTAAAAAAAAAAAATGGGGGGCTGGCCCGGTGACATAGTGGTTAAGTTTGTGTGCTCGGCTTCGGTGGCCTGGGGTTTGAAGGTTTGAATCCTGGGCCTGGACTGATGCACAGCTCATCAAGCCATGCTTTGACGGCATCCCACATACAAAATAGAGGAAGATGGGCACGGATGTTAGCTCAGAGCCAATCTTCCTCAGCAAAAAGAGGAGGATTGGCAACAGACATTAGCTCAGGGCAATCTTCCTCACCAAGAAAAAAAAAATGGGAAATGAAAATCTGTACTTGAAAGAGGTGAGAGGAAAGAGGCTATCACTGATCTCCCATGCAGGACTGCAGCAGTGCCTCATCAGAAGTTATTCACCAATTTCTTAGGTCTCCTTCCATAAGCTGATATTGTTTCTATTAGCCTAGTCCTTGAGGTATAACCTATACATATATGGTTGGTTAAAAAGACCAGGAAGCCCCTGAGGGTCGGAGGAACTGGCCTGGTACCCCACTGCACTGCAGATCACAGACACTTGGCTCCCTCACACCAAGTGCCAAGCAGTCACGAGGCCCCCAGCCTCACCTGCTGGGAGTATCATCCAGGGCAGCGCTGAGTGCTTTGGCTGCCAAGGGGGTCTGCGTGTAGGGCGATTTGTATGAGCTTTATTCATGGCCAGTTCATTCCACTGGATGACTCAGAGATCCAGTGGAGAATATCTGCCAAGAGACAATTAAGGGAAAGGGGGAAATGTAGACTGTCAAGTAAACGGAACCCAGGAGGGGGGACTTGCCTGCTGACTCATTCTGCTCTTTTAAGTCTGGCCAACTGCCAGCAAATCAACTCTAAACTTCCTACTGAAAAGGAAAAAAATTGAGTTTGTGAATCCAAATTGACTCCATCTAAGGCTGACGCATTTGCTGAGTACTGAATATGATAGAACAAAATATGAAGTTAGGCAATTATTTGGACTTTCATGTCAATTCTTAATGTTTCCTATTTTAAGTTAGCCAGTTTCTTCCAAGCAATTTCACAGAAACTAACAAGCTCTCAATGGCTGAAGTGTTTCAGAGACAGACTGGGCTTAAAATTTAGGTTGCTAATAAAAGGAGACAAATAAAAATTAGGATGCTATAAATTATGAGTCAGCATGGGAAAGAGGGCATAGCTGTAGGCAGATGATTTTCAGAATTCTTACAGATTCTTATTATTTAGAAAGTTGCTTGGGTTTTTGAGGCTGATTTACAGCCCACACAGTTATAAAATCAGAATAAGAAAACGAAGGTGCATAGGCCTTCTTTTGCCTCTTAGGAGGATGTCATCAAGATTCTTTACCTATACTGAAGTTATCACGTCAGTGT